CGGATGAACTTGAGGTCAATATGATATTTTGCGATATACGTCAACGTTACCTTGGAACTTTTTTGCAGGTTCGCTTCATATTTTGTAACAAACGCGCAAAAACTGCAATAAAACAGCACTATATGCTTCTGGACAAAATAAAATGACAGTAAAAAATAAGCCCTGATGGTATTCATTCTCGGCCAAATCCAATTACAAAATATTTTGTAGAAAGAACTAAATTTCGGCTAAAAACCGTGCACGTTTAAAAAAAGAATCATTCCAATGACGGTCCATTATTGCGGTCCTGAAATCGCCACTATTTCCGGCCTCACCAACGCAACTCGTTGTCCAGACGTAAATATGCAATCGAGGAAGGCTTGCTTAGATTTAGTGGTGATGTTTACTATTCGATTCTGTTTCAGGCATTACAGATTTTTAGTGGTGATGTTTACTATTCGATTCAGTTTCAGGCATTAAATGTGTAGAGTAAATATGATAACTTTTACTAAGATACATCTTTTAACTAAACTATTGTTTTTAAGCAGGTCGTATTTTTGTTGAAAACCCTACGGATGATATTGGTAAAACGTATTTCAGATATTCGATTCGGAAAAGAGATGTCGAGTTGCTTTTCGGCCCCACGTCGCCATTCTGGGTATTCTGTGATCGATTCGCCCCGTGTTTGGTTGGGCCCGCGCCGCGTGGTTCGGCGGTATTTTTGAGGGAGGAACGCAGGAACGCAGGAACGCTAACGCACCGAACGAAACAAAATTGAGGAACGCTATTCCAGGAACGCACTAACCGCGGCCGGAGGAACGCAGGAACGCTAACGCACTACCGAAAATCGAGGAACGCGCCCAGCTCTGGTGGTTAGGGGCCGTATCGGAGGCAAACATTGTGAATTGTACGAAGAATTGGAACTCGATCATCATGAAGTAAGTAAAAATTATTTCCTTAGAATGGCAAGAGTATTTGCTGCTGGTTACTTGCAATATTTTATTTGGTAATAAGTGATAGGAAACATTTATTAGCTCTCCGCATCCGGACCGCATCCGGACCGGATGCGGCCAGCGTGCGGCGACATTCCGGACGGACTCCGGACGGAATTCCGTCGCAGTGGACGGCGGCCTTAACATGTCGCCGGCTGAGGCGGGATCGGCCGACGCGGGAAACGCAGCAATCACAATTTTGTGTTTACACGTTCATATTTCAATTGTTTACCAATTGATTTTCAAAATTCTTACACCATAAGATTGCCTGTACATTTCTTAGTCTTCTCACAAAATTTGACGCGAATCGAACGTAATCAGCGGTAAGGAGCGCGATGTAAAGACGGAACCGTTCCGTTCCGTCCCGGCACAGTCTACAATTCAGGCGGCGGCTAGCGGTCGGCGCCGGCTGCCGAGTCGCCGCGGCGACAGGATGTTCACTTTACACCGCTATTACTAGACCAGTAGTGAACCGATTTTCTTCTTGCTTGCACGATGAGATGTGCAATTCAATTTTGGACAGGTAGCTATAATTAATTTCGCATTAATACTATGAGATATTGGCGAAAAACAGGAGGGGTGGGGCGAAATTCACTCTTCCCCCTCCACTGCGCGTGCTAACATACGTTTGCATATGTGCCATTTTCTTCAAAACTTATGAATGGCCCACTCTAATTTTTTCACAGGTTGTTAAGAATATGGTAGGCAATAAGATATATGAAAATTAGCCAAATCGAAGGTGACGTGTTTTTTGCTATTTCAATTTTTGTGCTTAAGAACAGAGTTAAGCAAATTTCAAGGTCATATATTTAAGTAGGTGCAATTCTAAACAAATGCTTAAGAAATTACCTAAACAGTAAGGTTTATTTCATTCAAATCAAACAAGTACAACCAAAGTTATGGTCGTTCAAAAATATAAAGATGCAACATTTTGTAAAAATTCGATGCCCTATATTTAGAAGACCTGTGGTCAGAATGTGCAAAAAACATCAATGTAATGTTCGGGGCGACACAGGAACTCGCTCACAAATTTATAATGAAATCGCTGATGGTAAGGTGCAAAACAGCCGATTTTTGTTCGATTTGACGTGGAATGCCCCGATAGGAAGTAAGTGCCCTGCGTCATGACCAAATCGATAGGTTGAGACCTACAAAACCCTGAAAAAGGTGAATACGAGAGAAAGACCACTTCCTTCTACGCATTTCGGCAATGATGTAGCACCTACCACCCGTTTAACACTTGTGTATTAGCAGTTTTTGCATTGCTGGCGCCGGTTGAGGCAGTAATTACACAATTTGACTGTATGTAGTTACTCGTTTGAACGGCCGACGGTGTTATGTTGATAAAGCATAAACAATCATTTGGTGACATAAATAAGAGTTAAACTAACCAATAACAGCTATTTGTCTGAGTAATGGATTCTGACATCATTGAGTCCACATCAATTTGAAATTTAGAAGGTAGGAGGAAAATTTCATGTATGCATAAAATACCAACACGCAAGGTTCATCATCCCAAGCACGCACCACCACAGCAGAGATCGGTTCGTGGTTCGATCACACGACTGAGCGCCGCTTGAACCGCAGCTCACGCTATCAGAGCGACTAGTTAGTGCGCGTTTGTCGCTCCGTGCGGCATGAACAACAGGATGTGGGGATGACCGCGCCGCACGACCGGCAGAACATGTGGTAAATGTGGATCAGGCGGTGAAACGAGCCGAGTCACGGCAGAATCAACGACTACGTGACGACTGTCTGAGGTCTACTCGGAACACAGCCGTGAACAAAGCCATCAGGAGCCCAACTCATCGTCATTTCATGGCGCCCGCACCTTTTCGGCCCTGGCTGGCGCTCAGACGCAGGAAATCGAGCCTTTCCACGAGCCTGCCGTTAGCTTTTCATGACAAGCTGCCGGTTCCGGTGTGGAGGCTTATGCTAATCCCCCGGCGGGGAATCCAGCAGACCGGAGGTTAGACGCCCTTTGAATGACCAGTCTGTGTGGGAGGGAGGATTCACTTGAAGCGACTCAAGGGTGTTGGGCAAGCTGGGTCGTCCGGGACCTTCCGACCGAGTAGGAGTTATGATCAAAAGCTTAGGAAAACATTTCCCGAGACGGATAACGTATGGATGAGTTTTCTTGCAAGTGTTGATAACCAGTAGGCAATATGTGGTTGACCTTTCTAAGGGAGATCGTTTCTAGGCAGTCTATCAATGAATACAGTTTCGCGCCACGTAACCCGAGTTTTAGCCGCCCCGCTTCCGATATCACGTAATCAAGCGTCAACTTTGGGTATGCAAAGCAGTTTCCCTCACGTATGAATGCAAAGAGTTCCGCTAAACCGCTTTCCCCCAAATACACTGCGCCTCAAACGATAAAAAAAGACAAAAAAACAGCGAACTGACGCCATTGTGGACGTCACAGGCTCCCCACATCCTTTGTGTCTTCCCGCGGCCTTTTGACGCGTTCAGTTTGACTTGACGCCTTTGCAGTGAGCTGGTTATAGCAGTTGTACGTCGTAAACGCGTCAGCTTAGACACCGGGTGAGAACTGAGCAATCACAGTCGAATACAGTTACAATAGCCATTCTACAATAGCCATACAATAGCCTTACAGTTACAATATGGCCATCCTGAGCGATCAACTGCTGCTCATTTCACCCCACTCACTCCCAGTGACGCGGGTGAGCCCGGATCTGCCCGTGCCTCACGTCTCTCACGCCTCTGCCGAGTCACGGCGACTTGTGGTGCGCGCCCGGCCCGCCTGCAGACACCACGAGCGGCCAGAGTCGCTGACCGCGTCATGGGCGTGCCGTCCCTGCCTATCGCCCCGGGCCACCCGCGCTCCGGGTGGAGGTGCAACTTTTCTGCAACTAGACTCGCTGTTTGCAGCTTGCTGAGAACAGCCTGACTGATCTGTATCGCTAACAAATAAAAAAGATGAAAGTCGGTCTAAAAAGCAGTTTCTATTACAAGAATGTTATACCATTATTGGCGCCTTTCAGTGAATCTAGGCATAATGTTACGGTTTAGCAAAATAATACAACAGAAGTTCGTCCTTTTAAATTAAAACCTACATACTTTTTATGCATGTGAACTGGAAGGTGTTCCTTAAAACAAGTTCGCGCACCGCAGAATGTCGGTAACCAAAGCCGCATCTCTAGCCTGACCGCTCTGATTGCAGCAGCCAGGGCAGCGGCCGGTCGACAGGGTTGGAGCGGGGCCGGTCGCCAGGGTTGGAGCGGGGCCGGTCGACTGCCACAAAGACGCCGCGTGCCCGAGGCCCCCGACCAAAGTTGCCAGACTGCCCGGCGGTGGGCAGAGCGGGAGGGAGGGAGGGAGGGGAGGGGAGTTGGCACACCTCGAGTCCAATGTGCGACTTCTGTCGAGTCATGGCATGAGTTTTGCCCACCCGAAGCGCTGAGTTATCTATTTATTTTGCCTAGCCGTGGGGATCTAATGGACAAAGAGATGCTTGCCCTCTCTCTCTCTCTCTCTCTCTCTCTCTCTCTCTCTCTCTCTCTCTCTCTCTCTCTCTCTCTCTCTCTCTCTCTCTCTCTCTCTCTCTCTCTCTCTCTCTCTCTCTCTCTCTCTCTCTCTCTCTCTCTCTCTCTCTCTCTCTCTCTCTCTCTCTCTCTCTCTCTCTCTCTCTCTCTCTTTGACGCACTCTGAGCCGTTAAAAAAAAACTCCGCTTCAGATTGTAATTGAGGTGAAAGAACAGTGTGTCACGAATATGGTCGAAAAAGTCTGAGAGCTATCGGTCCTCGACTGAGATAATTTCGCCTGCTCTTCGTTGTTACCTCATCTTACCAGTAATGCAACATCGAACTTGCACGAGTGTGCAGAGAACAGGTATTCCGCGCTATTATATAATCCGCAGTTAAAACCTGTTCACACGTTTCCGCTAACACTATTATGCAATGCACGTTGCCCATACATCCCGCCCTGCTTTATCAAATGTTTACGATGGTGTTAAGCTACAGGTGCCAATAGGAGAGGGTCTTACCCTGCCTTCCCCTCCACTCACTCACCGGATAATGTTCGGGTGATGCACCCGGTCCATGTTGGCGATTTCTCGCGCCAGCATCCTCTGCGTTTTCTGGTCCAGCTTAGCCTTGTTGATAACTTTGACGGCTACCCTCTCTGCGGAAGGACAAAAATAGCGTACGCCGTGAGCCGTGAGAAATATTCACACGTTATTACACAGCACACATCACTGTTGCCATGGAAGCTTGGAAATGGTTCAACACGTTTGACGAGCCCGCAACTTCATACGGAGGTTTGGGTCTTCGCCGATTCGTGTGGTTCCTTATATGTGCTTGGAAACACGCATTTGTCATTTCGCCGTGGAAATCAGTTTGCCCTTTCAGGCGCATAAGAAATGATGCCTATACGATAAAGTGCATTTAATATTACAGTTGAAGACTATCTAGGTAAGTGATTTATCATCAATTTCCTTGAAAAAATATCAAGATGAAAGCTATCAAAAAGGCCCGATACAACAATATTTAACTTTTTAAACGTCTTGAGTTTTATCGAGCATAACTGGTAGAAACACTTCAGTTAGGTCCCGCACGAATTCGCTGGCTCACTCTGTCTGATGAGACTGACTGGCACCGCCATCGGCAGATCGAGCTGAAGAAGCACATGCTTCCACGTCATGGCACATGGTCATTAACCGTCGAGATAGCGTCGGGCCACGTCGTGGTGGTCGCGATTTGTCAGATGGATAGAGTGCAGCAGGTGGGGGGGTTAGACGGTGAGAGGGTGCTGCAAACCGGAATACGAGGGAGGGAAGAAAGGGAGATAGAGGCAGGAAATGAAGAGAAAGGATGAGCGGGAAAGAAAGGAGAAGAGATGAGAGAGAGGAGTGAGAGAAGCGAGAAAGGGAGAGATAGGGGGAGATAGAGGGAGATGGAGAGGGAGAGAGAGAGAGAGTGAATGAGTGAGTGAGTGAGTGAGTGAGTGAGGAGAGAGATGGAGGGAGAGAGAGAGAAAGAGAGAGAGAGATAGATAGAGAGAGAGAGAGAGAGAGAGAGAGAGAGAGAGAGAGAGAGAGAGAGAGAGAGAGAGAGAGAGAGAGAGAGAGAGAGAGAGAGAGAGAGAGAGAAGAAGGAGACAGAGACTTGGATTTGGACTTAGAGGGACTTGGTCCATGCACCGATATCACTGAAGACAAATGACCGTACCGACAGATAATCAGCTACTCAGCTTGTAAATTTGAAAGCGACAGAACGATTTACTACCGACGCCCCTGTTCAGCCATTATTCACAGCACAGCGTTTATGGTGAAATGTGGGCCAGGGGCAGCGCCGGAGATAAGAAGGAGCGGTCATTGACACAGCAAGGAGGGTGCATGTCAAAGGAGGAAATGAAGGTCAAGCGTCGCATGTTGGTGAGACGGAGAGGTCACGTGTCGCGTGTAACGGTGAGGCCGAAGGTCATCATACATCACTAATACTCAATAGTCTCCTGTTACCCATTATAATGCAACCTCCTTCCATCCTTTCCACTGTTTTGCAAACTTCGCCGGCAGATTTCGTACCAAGATGCCAGGTAGGTCACAGGACGCCCCCGGCACGGCTCCAGTCAAGGTCACTGGATCGATTTGAGGGTCATTAAGTAGGCCGGCTCCCTCAGTCAGTCGTGCTCACAGCCGGGCGTCCGCCCGACCCGCGTGTGGAAACAGTTGTTTCTTCCAACACGCACCGTGTCGGGACCGGCGGTCAGGGCCGCCCATCACGCAGGAGTTTGGAATATGAGGCGAGCGATGGAACGATGACGATGTAGTAAATTTATGTATTGTGCGAATTACACGAGGTTTCCCGATGGTATTTCGTCAGTGCTTTGAAAAGGTCGAATCTGGCTAGAATAGTCGATGATAATGTGGCTTAATGTATTTAATTGTAACAACCAAATTTTCAACAATGGCCACTGATAAAGTTACTTGAACAAACTAAACTACATAAATCATATTGCAAGTATTGCATTGCTATTTCGTGCTTGCTCTACTTTGTTGAATTATGAATATAAGTTACTGCATCGATTAGTATTCACCACAATGCGATCACGTTGATTGGTAAGAGAGACGCTCGTTTAGGTAAACAATTTACATCCAATCATAATATAGCAAAATTGAGCGTACCTATTTCTGATATTCCTTTTTCACTACCTATCACTATTTTTCGTTGCGTTCCGACTAAGGACCAGCAACTACCTAGGCATAACAAGATGGTACTATTCTATCGATCGCTGTCATCTGCGGCATGGACGGCTCAGTGCCAACAATGGTACGATGTTCTGTCTGTTGACAACTGCTTTTCACTGCTGACGGAGAGTGTTTGAACACATGTGCTTTTCGGACGTGACCTACTCTGCTCCACCGATTCTGACATTTGCGTGCCTACGGAAACATCGTTTTGTCAGGGAGCTAAGAAGCAGTGACACATTAATTACTTAGTTAACTCTGTGGCTTATTGATATCAATAATTTCGGTAAATAGCGTCCATTTCTAGTGTCTGATGACACAAACATTATTTCTTGCAACATCATTTTAGGATCACCCACATCTTTATCAGTTGAATGGATGTTTTCTATTTCGAAATTTTCCATTTGGGAGACTGTAACTTCACTGTTTTTATCATTTTAGTTATGTAGCTCAAAACAGCGTCAGCATGTATCAGAAAAAGATGTACGCACAAATTTTAGACACAACAACTAGCACTGTAATAGTCCACATAGCTTAAAACACGTCGGCTGACGTGGGTAAAGCTTTATTTTCATGGTTCCGTTCCATGTATTTTCCATAAAATCCTTTCACCTAAGTGCTGTTCTATCACGATTGTTGTTTTTGTATATGGAGGAGTTATGAATAAAAAAGCTTATTGCGCAATAAGTAGCACCAAGAAGCTATAATTGGATGCAGTTTGATCGTTATCAAAATGTACGTGCCTGCGATTGTTGGCAAGTTTCTGCAAACAAACAACAAACATCGCCTATCATAATTTGCCTTTTGTGGGCTAATGCTGGGTTCCAGAAGCCTGTTCAGCTAAAAATGTCATGCAATGCTGGTTACGGAGCGAGCGAAGCGAGCGGAGTCTCATACTGAGTTAAGGGAAAATCCTGAGTATGAGCGGCCGGCCGGCCGGCCGGCCGTGGGGACGCTCTTCAAAAGCTAATATCTTAGGAACGGGACATCCGATTGACAAGCGGTCTTCTTTACTGAATGTCACTTGGACGTAAAAGTTCTGTGGTGTGATGGCCACCATGCGTTCATGCCAAACACCGCACGTGGCGCGTGGTAAAGTTGGACATTTTTTAAGAACCCCCAAAATTGCAACCTCAATAACGGCACAACGGTTGGGCCGATTGAATTGAAACTCGGTACACAGTTAGGTCTCCATCAGATAATTCATCTGCATGTGTTAAGGTTGGGGTGCTACAGCACGTGCGCACGTGCAGGGGGCGCTCCCAGATCTCGAGAACGGCTGGGCCGATTGCGCTCAAATTTGGTACACGGTTGGGGACCAGTTAGTAGGGTGCCGTCGTGCAAAAGTCAGTTTGAACCCCGCTTGCACGTGCGCACGTGCAGTGTGTCGCTTCCAGATCTCGAGAACGGCTAGGCCGATTGCGCTGAAATTTGGCACATCGCTAAAGACCGGTTAGTAGGGTGCAGTGCACAAGTTAGTTGGAGGTACCCTCTCGCAATTTCGCACGTGCAAGGCCCATCCTCTCGCTCGCTCCGTTGGTCGCCCAAAAGGCGTTTTACTGGTATTGCACATTTTGCCAAAAACAGGACAATGAAATGTAAATATTAAAGGCTAAATCATATTGCACTCATGCAAAAGGTGTCGTATAAATACAAACAATGGTATTCATTTCAGAATATTAGTACAGTAGCATCCGTGGACCTCTTGGAAACATTTCAAATTGTTTCACGAACAAACAAACTTTTTCGTTTCTTTGCTTCTTTTGTGATGTAATACGAATCCGTAGGACGCATCCCACGTGGCACATGCATGAATAATGGTGCTTGAAGCCAGGGGCGTCGCCGACGGGGGGGTCGGGGGGGTCGCGACCCCCCCACTCGTCAGAACCGGGGGGGTCAACCCCCCACTTTTGGCGATGCTGAATATGCTTTTTTTAGCTATCATGTCAGGGAAGTTGGCGTCAGCAACGTCAACAAATACAACGTCAGATTCAGAATCGCTTCAAGAGCTCCCTATAGTCCCTATTGCTTATAGGTCAATAAGCTGTGGGCTAGAACATCAGCATGACAATATGATTTTAGTCCCTTTTTATCCCTCAAATGAGCGAGCGCGTCAAAACTGACCCAAGCGCTCGTCTGATTGTCAAAATAATGGTTGCAGTCGATTCGTCGGATGACGTATCAGTAACTACGAGGTACCTGGCTAGCCTCAGCCCTGCTACCCTCGGACCTGCCTGCAGAGGGGAAATGGGGTCCGATGGTGGATCCCTCTGGGGCTTTCCTTTTAAGACGCGCAAAAAGGAGTATATTGCAACGAAACTTCCAGTGACCTCGAATTAATGAATTTTACACCTATTCTAAAAAAAAAAAATTGGCCCTGATTCGAATATGGATGACCTTGGTTAAAGGAAAAGGGCCACCTTCGTGAAATATGAAGATATCGTTGTTTTTCATTTTGACATTATTATTTTTCATTTTCTTTTTAAAACTGGTGCCAGAAGTGCACAATTCGCGAAAAAGTATTTAAAACTATTTAACATATTGGTACACTCGGGGGCAGATTGATGTTCCACCACTCCCTACCCATCGGGCTCCCATGGCTCCCGCACTGGCTGCTGTCAGTGGCAGGACTGGCAGCACTGGCATTGGCAGGCAGTGCTGAGCAGTGCTGAGGGCAGGCAACATTGGCAGCAGCCACTGCTGATCCATGGGAGCCCGATGGGTAGGGAGTGGTGGAACATCAATCTGCCCCCGAGTGTACAGTAGGTCTATTAAAAAAGTCCCCAGCACCAGTGGGCGCTGCCTTCGCTGAGCCGAACCCCCGTCTGCCTGTCCCATATCGCGCCGGGCTCAGGTCAGGTAGGGTCAGCGGGACCGCTCGGTCCGGCCCGCGGGCGGTGGGCGGGCGGCCGGTAACGCTTTCCGCCAGCCAGCT